GTTGAATACGTGCACTTCCCGAGCACTTCATAGTTCAATGGGCCGATGAAAAGAAAAACAATCTGTTAAGACAGCTAAGATCCTACTGCTCAAAGCTTTGTTGATGAATATTAAAAACTCATGCTTAATTCAAAACAAATGACTGTCATTGTAGCCTATGTGACATGTTTACATGGTTTTTGTGAAGCACTCCTTGTTTAACAGCTAGTCTTAAGAGTGTAGCTTTGTGTACCACTGATTTACCCTAGCCAGTGACAAATGAACAGGCAACTTAGAAAGATCCTGTCTTAAGGAAAAGCACAAGTTATGCCTGACAAGTTGCAAGGTTCCTTGGGAAGACAGACGCTTATTTCAGTAACGCATTTTTAGGTAATCATCAGCTGTGAATGCAGGTATCATAATGTACTGTGCTTGATTGCTAATCTAAGAATTGTAGTCAGTTCTCTGCTGTTTACATTCAACCAAGGAAATTTAATTTCCGTGCTTAAATCATTTCTTTTGCATCAGGATAGTTGAATATTTGCAAAGTTATGAATGTAACATTCTGAGTATTGTTGACATAATAGTGCTCTAGGTCAGAGAGGTACGTAGCCAAGGGTTACCTTTTTTAAAGAAAAAAATGACTTTTTTCCCCTCTTTATTCATCAATAAACCTCTTTTGTTTTTGTTGCTTGAATCTGGAACAAAGCAAACCGAAATGAGTGCAAGGTCACTGTGGTGTCTACTTATTCAGAGTAAGGGCAGCCAGCAGCACAGTGGTGCTGAAAGCACCATGAATTTCTTTCTTGACACTCTATAACTGATCAAAACTGAATTATTAGTAATAGCAGCCTTACCGCATTGAACCAGAATTTGTTATAAAACTGCTGAATGTCAGTTGAACAACTTGGTTTTGATATTTCAAATGAATCATTCAAAGATTAAAAAAAAATTGTTATATAACTGACTCTACTTGCATTACTGTTATAGATCGCCTAACTTACCTTATTAAACTGCACATTGCACAGTCTAAATTACTGGTCTGTAATTGTATTTTGCCAACTGATTGATGGTTGTTTTCCTCAGGAAGTGTCACTGCAACAGACCGCACAGCCTACGTCAACAATAGTTCGTCCGGCGTCGCTGCAGGTTCCTAACGTGCTGCTAACAAGTTCCGACTCGAGCGTTATTATTCAGCAGGCGATACCATCCCCAACGTCTAGTACTGTTATTACCCAGGCTCCATCTTCTAACAGGCCAATAGTGTAAGTTGCATAAATCTTAGTAAAATGTTTCATTAGGAATTCTAGAGACAAGTTTGTCTTGCTTATTGTTTAATTGTAGAAGAGGTTGTTTACCTCTTCTACAATTAATGTTCAAATTTGAGATGCGTAGTGCAATGTGACAGTACAACAGATGCAAAATATATTACTTTCATGACATTTGAAATATAAGTCCCATGTTCTTCACATCACTGACTCAATATTTTTATTTCTAAATAAGTATTATATTACAGTTGTAAAGACTATATCTACATATTTTGAGACAGAGAATGAGAGAGGTAAGTTTCGGTCAGGGTTAAAATAAAATTAATAATGTACTAAGCTTGTTATTTTTGCTGTACAAGTTTTCTTTTATACACTTCATTCTTTCTTTCAGACCAGTTCCAGGTCCTTTTCCTCTGCTGTTACATCTTCCTAATGGACAAACCATGCCTGTTGCTATTCCTGCCTCAATCACAAATTCTAATGTGCATGTCCCTGCTGCAGTTCCAGTAAGTAAGCAGGATGCTTTATTAATTTGAAAGTGTTGTAGATTTGCTGAAGTGCTCAATAGAACTTAGTTTTATAAGAGCTTGATAGCTGTTTTGGCTGCAGAGGGTAGTGGTGTCATATGCTCTGTCTTATGGTAACATACTCAGGTTTTCTTCATTTTTATACTTTATCTGGTCAGCTTGTTAGACCTGTCACCATGGTGCCTAGTATCCCAGGGATCCCAGGGCCTTCCTCCCCACAGCCAGTGCAGTCTGAGGCTAAATTGGTAAGTAAAAAACTCCATTATTCCTCAAGAAAAATTATTTGATGATTAAATTCTTTTGCTTTTAAAGTGCTTTAATTTGTTTGTTACTTGTTGTTACAGTCTACATTCTCCAAGTACCAAGTTCAATAAAAACAGAAAAATAATAGCTGAACATTTGTTTTTCTTATTTCCAGTGGATGTCAGTTCTGTTGCTAGTGGTCATTCTTATTTTATTTTGTATTATTCTTTGAAATGAAATAGATCTTCTAACTAAGCTCCTTATTGCTCTCCCTACTGGGGAGTAGGAAATCCCCTTATCCTTTATATATCACTTCTCTTGACCTTAACCTGCGAACTTTTTCCTTAATTGTTTTTAGTTCCCAAATTACAACATAATCAACAGTGAGTCTAGGAACACTAATGATTGTCTGGAATAGCAGGATCCCAGTAGAGTGGGAATATTATACTCTGTTCCACAAATACTGAAAGCCCCATGAAGAGCTGGTCACCAGCGCACTGACTTTTCCTGTTGCTCTCAGGACTTTCTTCATTCTCCTCTCTTGGGCAGGATGATTTTTAAAATACTTTATTTGGGAAAAGAAGTGGTTGGCCTCTGGCCATCCTTTGGGAATGGGGAAAGGAAGCTTTTCAGAGCTGGGGAAATACTTAACTGAACCACCTCAAAGGGCATAAATTTATCTGGTATCTGGGAAAGAAGAATGCAAGAAAGTGGGGGGAAAAAAAGAAATGCGGAAATGGCACATTGCTTTGAATCAAGACGCTTAATCACTAAATGTGCTCTGCGAAATCCAGAAGAAATTAGTTCCAAATAATTTTTAGTTGGGCAAGAAATTAGCTGCTTAAGCATATTACTGAGTGATCTTTCTCTGAACATTTTGTGAAGGGCAAAAATACATGTATTCAGGGAAGATTGGATCTTGTGAAGGAAGTAGCAATCGTTCCAGATACAAAGGAAAACAAAGATTGTCAAACTTAAATTTTAACAGTCTCATTAGTTTTCTCGTTAGAATTTAGCTAATATGTGCACTTTGGTGATTGCTCATCTTTTTTAAATGAGCCTGTAAAGGGCTTCTTCTTCCTTGTCTCCTAATATAAAGCATGAGCAGAATTCAAGCATATCAGGATTATGCACATTTCTGATGCTCATTTACTTTTATATAGTGCTTATTCACAAAAATAAAAAAACTTGTCACCCTTATAGTAAAAACCATTTAATGAGCAACTCTGATCTATACAGAGAAAAGCTTCTGAGAGGAAGACTAGCTCACCATGCCATGTTATGTTTTGTTGACAGATATGTCATGATTTATTAAATTTGAAATTTCATTTAATTTTCAAAATTTAAGTTTTTGTGCTACCAAATCCTTTCATTCTGATGCTGTCTTTTGAAGGACTATGTTTGCTTGCTACATATAAAATTCTGCAAGTATATGGCAATCATGCGTATTTTTCACTAGTGTTCTGGTATAAGCCAACAGACAACTTAAATATGTAATTTTATTCTCACAACTTGTTTACTTTGCATTTCATTAAAAGTTCCATTTTAAAGCTGAAATGTAAGCTACTATGTAACTTCAATTTAATAAGCAAGTTATATATTTCATCTATTAACAGTAGGCTATACAGGTATTGGTATATTTAAATTAGCAGAACCGGGGCCAAACAAGCAGACATAATAAGCACCAAAGAGAATTAAGTAATCAAAAGCTTCCTCAGCTTCTTGTACAGCTTCCTGAGGAGAGGACAGTCTCTCTAAGGCAGAGTTAGTCATGAGCAGAACGTTCGGTTCTTTACTGCTTGGCTTAATACCTGAGACGGGAACCAGGCGCTTGACCAGGCATTTTAAAAGAACTAATAGCTTTTAGAGTTTTGTGTAGCAAGAATAATTTGTGCTATATTTTCATTCCTCATCTCTTTTCTAAAAGGCTGCATGTGGATTTCTTCCTTCTTTAAGGTGAAGGTGAGAATTCTGACATACCCAAAATCAAATCAGATTGTGATGCCATTATTTTCTAATACTTACAGAGCTTAAGTACTTAAATATGGTTTGCAAAATTTAATTTCTTTCTATTAGCGAAATAGAAATTTTGTTCCGGTAAACCTCTACTGTTTTGTTTGAGTTGCATATACCAAATTGCACATACAACATCATAAGTTTCTTTATATACAATCCTGAGTGAGCTTTAATAAAATAGACATTTTGCTTTTAAAAGCTAAAGCTCAAAATAACTTGCAGAAGATTTGTTTGGTAACGGATATAGGACACGTTCCTATGGCACAATAAAAACTTTTCTTTTTGCTACCCTAGAAGCTTTAAAATCCATTAAGGGAACTAATGTGTCTGGCATGCCAAATACAGCTTTATTTGTAAGGCTTCTAGAGAATTTACTTGCTGAATGCTTGGTTCTTTTCATTATGGACAACTTTTGGAAAATGCCTTCAGTTCCTAAATGTGCTCTCTACAGGCTTTTTCAAATGTTTTTGGCTTAAGAGTTTTCCAGCTTCATTTTCAGCTTGGTCCATTGTTTGATCATTGGGAAACACTCTGTTTAATGTAATTTGTTTTGACATCTCCCTGCAGATTACACATCTGTAAATGTTTACCTGGACATAGCCAAAAAGATATGTTTTGGCTGGTCAGAGACCTTATAAAATATACAAAAAAAAAAAATCTGATTTCAATGCCTCAAATTTTTCAGTGGAGTGTATGTACCGATGGAAATCTGACAAAACAAAAAAGTAAACACAACATATAGTAATCAGATGTGTACTTTATCAGATATAGAAATAAGTTTTTGATCAGAAGAGCAAAAACCTTTGGGAAAGGGAGTTTTAAGTGCTTACTCATGGGAGGGGAGTTACTGACAGGCTTTCTTTGCCGCAGTGCTCTTTCCCCGGGTCTACAGTAAAGTTGCAGAATGCCGAATGGTCACAGGAATTCTGCAGAGGGACAGTTACCTGCGAGAACAGCTTCACTAAGTGAGAGAGCAATTTAAAATAATACCGCCTGGAAGGAGAAAACAAATATAACCAAAGGAAATGAAAGTGAAGATAAAAACACAAAAGCGAAAATTGGCTGCATAGCCAGCCTAGTTCTTAGGTTAGGTGTCATTATTGCAAGTGATTCTGCAACTAAAACAGCTGCACTCCTGTGGAAGGAGTGTGCTAGGCACAGCTAGATCGTGTAGCCTTCTGGACTTCAGCATTATAGTATATATATTTCTTTGATGGGGATAATTATGTGAAATTGTATGAATTTTGCGTTTTAATTTTACTGTCCGAAGTAGCTATTGTAGTCATCGTAGATAGTCCCTTCACGTGCATGAAAAGTTCTTACTGTGGTTTTGAATATTCTTGGATTATTTTCTTCTTTGCAGAAGTAAAGTGAAATATGACAGATTTTATTCAGGCACAAGCTCTGTTTTAGTGCTACTTTTCAGAAAATATCATTGTCTTGTACAGTGACATTTGATAAATCGGTTGCAAGATCATATGTTGTACTCATTATATAAATCGTCAATTTTCATGAAGTGATCTATATTTGTAAATTATGCAACAGAATCTAAATTCCAGGTACTTAATATAATCAAATGCCTGAGTCAGTTTTGTGGTATTTAAAATGTTTAGAGAGTAGATGCAGTAGCTGCAGTATAAAACAAAAACAACAAAAAGACAGAAAAACTATATAATAATACAAGGATTCTAAATTTTTTTCAGAGTGGTTTTGCCCCAGTAGTCCCATAATCTGTTTGGGAGCAGATGAGTAATTGCATGCCCCTCACATACAAATAGGGAGCAGTGGACGACTCCTAGTTTTAAAGCACATGTGTCTTGAGGGTGCAGATCGTGGGGGTAAACCTCATGTTCAGATCCTTTTACAGGTGTTGCAGAAGTTCCTGAAGAAATCGAAATATTGCTCCGACTTTTCCGCTGAGTTCTTCCCTTCTCTCCTCCTCCTCCCCATGGAAAACCTTTTGTCGCAAACGGAGCAATACCTTGCACGCAGTAGGTTTTCCACAGGGGGCTTCTGCTGGGAACTGACAGAGGACAGCGTGGCAAATGCTCAGAAACCCACATTAACGTGCTGGAGCCCGGCATGGGAGCCTGTGTTCAGCAGAATCCTTCTGACCTGGCGCTCTGTGTGCCGAGCTAATCAGCAAACACCTAATGAGCCCGCTCTAAAGAAACAGACCCTCTCACAACCTACTTCATTTTCGTGTGTTCTCTGGGGGTGGAGAGACAAGGCTTCATAAGGACTGATGATGCTGCAAAGACCACAATAATGATAATTAACTTGCTGAATTTAGAAGATTATGCTGCTAATTAGTTGCAAAATAAAGATAAGTAATAGAGCAGCAGATGGTAGGATAACACCCAGGAGAAGGAGGGTTATTACTCTGATGAGCTTTTGTGGCAGATATGAAATATGGATCTGAGTTTTTCACAAATTGTTTCTGGAGAATATTATCTTGTTTCTGCGAGCTGTTGATAGAATGATCTAGTCCTACCAAATTTTGACAGATGTGATGAGAATTTGTTTTCAACTATATACATTATATTAAAGACTTTGAAAGTCTTTATTAGAAAGGTTTTGTTGTTCAAATAGTTGAAAATACCCTTTTTGGTTTGCCTCTAATAACCAACTGAAGGTAAATAAACCCTGGCTGTGATCAAGTTTCCCAACATAGTCATACTTGTATAAATTTATTCTGATATTTATTATTGTATATTTGATTTTTAAAACTGCCATTCACAGTATTCAGGGTGACTACCACACTACTCACTGGAAGAACAACATCCACATAACACTTTGCTACACCCTTACAGACCTAAGTTTTGAAACCGTTTCTAAACAGAGTAGCTGAAATCTCCTTAGGGCAAGCTGTAGATATTCCTCTGGTTTTCACAGGGATTTTGTTTGTTTTGGTGTAATTTTAGACATAACTCTGCTCGAATTTCCTAAGTGTTGAATCTCTGTGGTATAAAACAAAGGAATGGTTTTGTGTTTTTGTTTCTGTAGTAACCTCCACTTTAAAATGCACAGAAATACTCTGCTTAAATGTTAAAATTACAATACGGAAACTCAAGTTCCGCTTTGACTCTGCGCATCCATTGTTTCTGGTGATATATAGTATTTCAAGATAAAGGTTGAGTATAGAAATATACATGAACTTTATTTTGTTAGTTTAGCTTTGCAAATATGGTTAAATCATTTCTATGACACAAAAATGAATAGGTAGAAAAATGGAGCTAGCAAATAATATGCAAATATTTTCCTTATGTCAAAAAAATGCTAATCAGTTTTATTTCATTTTGCAAATCTTATGAGCTTGGGCAGTCTCTCAGTAAGGACGCTTTTACTAGAGAAGCTTTATTTTTAATCACTTAAAGCAAGCACTGTGGAGCATTTTCAGGACTTCGTAGACTTCCCCGGTCAAATGCTTACGTCAATGTTTCCTCATACAGTCACAAGCAGAGCAGAACAGGCAGGCCATAAACATAAATGGGTATATGTGTATATAGGGTTATGTGTATGTATAAATGTATCTTCCATTGCCGTCAAAATAGAACAAGTTAGCTTATTATCCCTGAATTTCGATATCCAGGCATTTCAGTTGGGTGAAATTTCCCCATTTTCATTTATGGCAATGACAGACACGTAGGCGTATGGTAAGTTACTGTGTCCTGGGCGAGTAATTTTTGAGTGACGGTAACTTTCTAGAGCTTGCTAAAGTGTTGCCTTGAAGAAGAGAGAGCATGCCCTCGAAACCTCAACACGGTTAAAATAGTGATGGGATAAATTGATTATGTCTCTACTGTCTTGATTTTTCCTCTTGGTTATTTGTGAGGCATCCTGCTAAACAAGTTATAATTTAAGAAAAGTTATTTAATTGTGGTTGCTCGTAGGAAGCACTGTAAAGATGAGTGAAGAAGATGAGAGACATAGCAAATGATTTAAAAATGATCAGAAAACAATTTTTAAACTATGTTCTGTTTTTTTTGGTTTTGGTTTTTTTTCCTCTCAAGTGTATTGTCTTTAGCCTTCTGGTCTATTCCTTCCAATTTGCTCACTGCTCTCTAGTCATCTTCCTGTGGTCACAACTCATCATGGAGGAGGTTTCCTTTTTACTTTTCCATACAGTTTAACTTCTCCCTTACCATTCTCTTGCTTAAGATCCTTTCTGAAGACAGATTTCTATAGTTGTACCTGCAAAAAATTTTAAGATGCTGTTAGATATATATCTATGTAACTGTTGAAGACCTTTAAAAAGAAACACCTACTTTAGCGTTTGGGATTTGGGAAATAGAAGTAACTGCATCCATAAATGATGAGTGATGCCTGAAATTCTATTTCCATTATGGAAAAATTAAAAGGACTCTTTTTTTTTTCCTCTTTTCAGAGGTTGAAAGCAGCCTTGACCCAGCAGCACCCTCAGGTAACAAATGGAGATACTGCCAAGGGACATCCAAGTGGCTTGGTTAGGACTCAGTCCGAAGAACCTCGGCCACAGTCACTACAACAACCTGCAACATCAACAACTGAAACACCGGTATGACAACAATGTAAAACTGTGCATCCTGTTCCCTTCACTATCGTGCAAAAAACACAAGAGTCTTTTTTTTCATCCTCTTGATTTGTAAAATAAATGTTAATATGTGCTACAGACTGTTGCTGGAGTTAGAAGCTTGAGGGAGAAGTAGACTGCTTTGCAAAATGCTGTCTGAATCTCAGTGTATGCTCTGCAGCAGAGTGCCTTTTTGCTGGTGTGTTTTATTAGCTTATGATTATGTGCAGTTTTGGCCAGATTGCTATATGTATACTGTGCTTGTTTTGCTGGCATGTTATGTTGGTATTCCTACAACAAGAACATTCTTATAATGATGTTTTTAAATGCTTCTAAAGTGTGTTATTGAAGGTGATTATTTCAAAATAGGTATTTTCTCTCTGTTTGAATTTGAAATTAAGTCCTCCAGACTTCTGGACGGCCTTGGCAGGGAATTTTATGGTAACTGAAAATTGTATAGCTGACTAAAATACATTTGGGAAAAAAAAGTGCTCTTATTCGTATTCGTATTTATATTGCATCTGTTTTTTATTGCATACTCTTCAAAATGTTAAACTGCATTAAGCACCATGCTTATGTTAATTTGCTTGAAGGATCTTCCCTGGACTGCTGCAGGAAGAGTCTCAGGTGTGTGATCAAGTTGCACCATGTCCTGGTGGCTGGCAGGGAGATTGTGAGCTCGGGAGACTGTTCTTTTCCCTTTGAATGATATGTGAGACTAGAACTCTGAGTCAGGCCGGGAGTGAGGGTGCCACTGTAGGCAAGACTTCCATGTGCGAGCACAGAGGTTTTCAAAAGCTGTAGCTTGTGTCCTGGAGGATTGCTGCTGCTTTGCTTTGAAGATAATTGTTGAAGTGTTTTCTTCAGAAAGTAATTATGGGTGATAGTGAACATTAGACAAATATGAAGGACATATCACGTTACCAAATTTTATTTCATTTTGTGGGCCAGCCTGCAAAGTAAGTAAAACATACTCCCTTGCTGCACTTACCAATCATTTTAAACATATAAATGTAAGCAAATTCTGTGCAATTACATCATATTGCTTCTTGGAAAAGTTATATGTATATAACCGGAGTATATTTAGCAATACTGTCTAACGATGTGATGTGTTTATATGAATGCTGTAGTTTGAGTCATGAATAGTGTTATGCTAATAACCTCTTTACTGCTTTTCTCTGTTTTCAGGCATCACCAGCTCAGCCTACTCCACAAACAGCAAATACAGGTGGTCGGCGAAGAAGAGCTGCCAATGAAGACCCTGATGAGAAAAGGAGGAAGTTTTTGGAGCGAAACCGGGCTGCAGCTTCCCGATGCCGACAGAAGCGGAAAGTCTGGGTGCAGTCATTGGAGAAGAAAGCCGAGGACTTGAGCTCACTAAATGGCCAGTTACAGGTATACTTTATTTCCAGCAATAGCCAGACTTCTGCTTTTCTAGACAATAATCCTGGATCAGTGGGGAATATACTTGCATGAAATCTGAAATATAAACAGCTTTGTAAAGGGTGGCTCAGTTCAGAATTGAAAATTAAGCATTGTTTACACATATCACCAGTAAAATAAGATTATAGGAAAATATTTAGCTTTCAAGACATGTGAACCTAAAGATCCTGCCCGCTTGTCCTTTGCTCCATTTTAAATAACTTTCAAGCTGTGATACTACAAGGATGACAAGATCCATTCGAGTAAAGGCTCATTAGCCAAGTAACAGCCTTAACTTGAACATCTTGCTCTTCACAGTTTGTATCACAACCTGAGTTATTTAAAGATGTTCTATTTTGATTTCATTTGGTCTTTTGGTTCTTGTTAACTTCACTTTTTTTCCTTTAAAGTGGATGTAGGGCTCGTGAAAGGTGCCAGATTGACATCACTGGAAACTGAAGGCCTCTTTTGTCCACAGAACAGGTACAGCACAGGCAGTGGCAGTGCAAATATCACCACACTGCCCTCCCAGTGTGCATAAATCCTATAGTAAGGGATGTATACTGTAAGAATATAGTTTAGTGTATGCTCCCAGTCATGTTCCAGCTCTGCTGAGGTGCTTAGTCATTTAAAAGTTGTTATGTGGACACATTTTCTGTCTGTAGGACAATATAGGACCCTTTCATTTAAGCTGCTCTTAAATGATAAAACATACTTTCTTAATGTTTTCCGGCCATACATAAGAATTAGCACTGTTCTGTTTCCAAATAAAAACTCTAGAAGCTTTATTTTGAAATGTTAAAAGGAAAGAAATATGTTCCAAAAAAAAAAATTAAACTCAAAGCATTCTGAGATCTAAAATTTTTCCTTCTTGTTCTTTCTTCAGGACTTGTTGACCCAAATTGACAAATAATCACAGATATCTCTCCTAGTAAAATTCCTCTCATGATATTTGGTAAACTGTCTCAGTTCAGCTATCTGGAAAGCAGGGCATGTTGATTATATTTTTTTTTTGTCATGTAATGAAAATTACAATGTATTAACCACCCTCAACTTCACATCTTTAAAAAATCTCAATATCCCAAACTGCAAAATGTAAAATTAATGACTAATCATGAAATTGTTTCTCAAAAATCATGAGACTATGTACCATAAGTTACATAACTTGCAAATATATTAGTTTTCTCTTACCTGTTCATAGTTTGTAGATATTTCTTTAATGTAATCAGTCCTGAATTAATCCTTTAATGACAAAATGGTATGTAGCACCATTGCTTAAATAATCTATGAAATAAGTGAAGATAACCTGTGAATGGGAACATAAAAGAAAGGAAAATAAAATATTGGTTGTATTTCAATATTCTTGGTGAAAGAAAGTTTCAGTATTAAATGTTAACTACCCTTACGCTAAAAAAATCTTTTTTTTTTTTTAAACTTAAAACAATGCAAGTGTCTTATTCCATTGGTATAAATAGAGCTTCTGAAGCCAATAATCAAAATTCATTTTACAATTTGTATAAAAATTTGTATATTTATACATGCACACACTTCCTATTCACTGTAGCCACTATTGGGATTAGAGTCTGAAGGAAATTTATTTTATCTATTTTAGAGTAAATACTAAAAACATCTGTTTATCCTATCACTCTATGTCAATGATCTCCTTAACGTCTCATAATATATAACTGTGGTTACTTGCATAACATATTTATCCAGATGCATTGTTTAGACCTATAATTGCATTTAACCTTTTGTTCTGGTTTAAAAATATGTATAATATGAAGAAAGCTTTAGGTTTCCAGATTTCTAAGAGTTAACACAGTAAGAGTGAATTCAAGAAAAAGAAATTTCTTATGGTCTACCAAAAGCAAAACCATTAACTGTGAAGAACAGAATGACTTGTAAAGAGAATTGAATATCAGAAATAATTAAACTGTACTTTATGTGAAAACATAAATCAATCCTGTATTTCCTTATAATTCTACACTGGACAGGCTAACACAGCTGATGAGCATGTGTTAGAGCGCAGTAATGACCCATGATCACTTATGCTGTCTGTAGTAAGTTTGAATTTTGCCTTTGTATACATTACAGGCTGCATGGTAGGGTTTAGTTGTTCGTATTTTGTTAATATGTAATGTGCCCTGCTTAGCTGAATTTACCAAGATGTCTTAACTTCTTTTCAGCAGTTGTAAGTTTTCTTACATAAAAATACTTTTCAGTGTGAAAACACAAACTGTGTAAGTTTAAAGATTTTTAAGAAAGAAAACCCTTGAAAAGGCTCTACAGATTTTGAAAATATTTTTCTGGCACAGTTGGTGTGTGCTTATAGTTCTCAGCTTTCTATAGATGAACTGAACTTCTACAGAAGAAAGTCTACTTTAGCTTTCCTTGATACACCCCAGTTCCTGTGTTTCTTTTTCCTTTTTATTTCTTAAAGGTTTTGTTTTGTTTTGAGTAAGATAACATTTCCGTCAGTTAAATCCTGTCAATAACAGATTAGGCTTTATTATTATTTGCCTTTATAATAGGCTCTGCTCTGTTAATTGTTTCACACTTCACCTTTTAAAAGTTTCAGCTCGAGGGTTTTTTTTTTTCCTACTTGTTCTACTAGTAAGTTGAATTGTTTGTGGATGTGCGATAGATCATTTTGCGTTGCCTCTGAGCTTTGCACAGCTACTGCAGGCAGGGCTGTTTTGTGAGAGATGTCTTGAGCAACTATTGACAGCCAGTCCCCAGCGGCTGCTCAGCCCTATTGCAGTATCCAACCCCCAAGTTCATCTGTGGTCTCTGCTTGTGCCCTGGCACTTTAATGATGTAGAGGGTGGAGGATTAATGAGTGGTGTTCAGCCCGAGTGGAAGCGTGGCTGGGCTGCCCCAGGAGCTCAGTGTAGCTTTTAAGGGATATCCATTATGAGCAAGCAGTGGTGGTTTGTCCTAATGCTGCAGAAGGTGCTTAAAAGAGGCTAAATTATGAGAGAGAAAGAACAAAACAATCCCAAAACATAAGTTCAGGTCTGTTTCTGTCCAGCCGTATCCAGAAAGGAAAAGGATGACAGGTATTTAACACGGACCGTAAGCCCTGCACATTACCTGCACGATGACCTGTCTGTCTGATACTAGGTCTGGTAAATAAACCTCAGAAATGTCGCTCACACCTTCTTGTTGATCAACTCCCACCGTTACATGCTCATTTTGGATCCGGTGGAAAAGCAGCAGGTGTGGGTGAGGAGCTCATGCACCAAATGTTATACAGTGTGGAGACTGCAGAAAAAAGTATCTTCTGAAAAAATGCAGTACAAGCAGAAGTAGATATGCTTCTCCAGAACTGTGCTTTCTAATAGCACATTTTGGAATATGTGAAAATAAATAAATAAAAAACACTTTCTCTTTGTTACTCTCTCTGTTGTTCTATTTTCTATTGTTGTGTAAAATATATTTTGTGTTTGCATCAATGAACATTTATCCTGAAGGTCAATATGAGTATCTCATTAAGAGCCTTCACCTTCCCAGTGTTTAAAACTTTCTTTATGCCATCTCTTGAGATGTTTATTCCTTGTGTTTCTTCTCGTTTGCCTTTTTTTCTGTAAAGAATACTATATGTTAACATATTTTGGATGGAGAGAATTGATGATATCACATATACAGTAAGAAAAGTATAAAGTGCATGTTGATCCAGTTTTCAGAATCCCCTTTTATTACCAACCAGAAGTGGATTTAATAATAGTATATATGGGCATCAATGTTAACCACTGATTGCCCATCTGTGACATTCCCTATAGTGTGTATCTAGCAGGCATCCTCTTGCTGCTCTCAGGGATGATTCATAAGTTGAGTGTGCGCTGTTGGCACACGGCGCTTCTGTTAGTGACAATGGAATTTGTATATTCAATGATAATACCTCAACTTCTGTAATTTGTAGGTAGGATGTCCCATTTTTCAGGTATGCTTTAATGTAAGAGAGCTTTTTTTAGATAGCTGTTAGCAAAATTCCTCATACCTACATCTGCAATTAATCTATAAACTGACTTTTCAGTATTTTTCATAAACATTAGAGTTATCTACACTGGTAAACAACCATTTTATTTTCATATATGTTATTAGTGTATAAAATTTTTCCTTGAAATACGAGACAAAGGTGAGAAACTTGCTGAAGACTTTTCCTGGGTTGGGTTGTTTATTTTGCCCATGTTCCCTAAGCAGCCAGTGGAAGTGGTTTCATTGGTGGGCACTGCTGCTTCTGCAGCAAGTGTAGATGATGGGTAAGAGGCTCAGATCTCCACCAGCACCGTCCCCCCGCCTCCCTCCGTGCACTGCTGGCTTTGGGCAGCTGCCTCCTGGACACGCAGAATTGTGGCTCTCAGTAGGAAACACGGTCAACTGAGAGCAGACTGAGAACTGCAGGTGTAGGTAACATGCTTACCAGGGACACCCCAAGGTTTCTGGACATGTAATTCCAGGGAATGCTCTTGTTTTTGTTTTCAATGGCAAGATTCTAAAAGAGATAGCACAGTTAAGTAGTGCTTTTCCATTCAGTCATTTTATAGTTTTGTAAGAGAACTTAGCATATGTAAATACTTAAGATTTTTATCTCCTAAATGGAAGGAGAGGGCCCAAGGAGACAATTCATCTTAAAAGAATGGATTTTTTTATGTTTATGGATTATATTATTTAGTGTAATTAAACCAAATAAATTCTCTTCTAAAAATTTATTTTTCTGGAGTATTCTAAAATAACTAGAAGTATTCTAATATCCTATAATTCTTTTTTTTTTCCTCTAAATTACTTCACTTCTAACTTGGAAATAGGCTGAAGTTCTCGTGCATAAGTTTACCTGCAATTTTCTTGTGTTACGTTTTTCTTTTAACTTGCTCTGTATATGGAAAAACATGTTTACTGAGCACTTACGACGTGTAGTATGATGTGCCAACATGCAAAGGTTCTTATAAGCTATGTAACATCAAGTATTTCATACTGCTGAGAGGGATTTACATCTAAAAAAAAACTAACTTGTGGAAAAATATGTATAGTAACAGGATGTAGGGATCACAAAGCATTACAGATAACTGGATTCTGTAGATACATAAACATTTTTCTGCTCTTTTAAGTGAAAATGGATCTATCAAAATGACATACTGTTCTTAATTTGGATTGTCACATATAATGCGTTTATGTAGTGCTGCTTCCTCCATAGATACCAAACTGCTTTGCAAGGCAGGTAAGTATCCTCCATTTTACAAATGAGAGAACTGAAGCACAAAGAAGTAAAATGACCTTGCTCAAGGTCACCCAATATGGAGTGCTGCAGCTTGGTAATGAATCCAGTTACTAGATCCTGCAAGCGCTGCCTCCTAGATTGCACTCTGCTTTTGTGGCATAAGATGACATTTCAGGGTTTTATCATTATCAATTATAGACATTCCTTCCTGCAACACTTGCTTTGTGCATGGTTACCAAAAATAAAATCAGTGTAAAAATCAGTAGACACTTGCCAATTTGGTTTTTCATCACATGAGATTTCCTCTTACAAAATATAAATCTAAATATAGTTTCCCAGTGTCATTTTGCCTTGGTTAACTTTTCATTTTTGTTGGCTGTGGCATCTGTTAAAATGTAAGTAGTTAAATGTAGCATTATTCTACTTAGAATTCAGCACAAAGCCCTGCAGTGGATTCTTACAGTAGCTGGATTGTGTAAATGAGGCTATATGCAGGTTCTGCAGTCTGAAAACTGAAAAAATATATTGCTATTTACCATAAGAGCATTTACTAGCTTAAGAAAAAGTCAGATTTCAGCTAATATTTAAGTATTCTAAAGTTTTAATTTTTCTTCAATATATACGGAATGGAAATTGATTGTATTTTATTTACCCCCAAATGAACAACTGAAAATCCCATAAAACTTAATACTTACCTTTAAAATGTGTGTAGTTTGAACCATGTGAAGTACATAACTTTCTTCTCCTTTAGAATGAAGTCACCCTGCTGAGAAATGAAGTGGCACAGCTGAAACAGCTTCTTCTGGCTCATAAAGATTGCCCTGTAACTGCCATGCAGAAGAAATCTGGCTATCATAGTGAGTAATGTTCCATTACCTATAGCCTTAGGCTGCATCAATGAAATACTGCCAAAGTGAACTGAATGAACATTAAAAAGGAGAAGTGTAGTTCTAATATTACATTAAAGATTTTTTTTTAAATCCAAAGGTTATTGCAAGACAAGAACGAATATGATATTTAGAAATATTTTTTATAAGTCCCTTCAGTTGAAATGTTGCATAACATTAAAGGTTTTATGTTGGGTTAATAAAGATGTATGATAATTAGTACTTAAAGACTATATGCTACTATACCTGCTTTGGAAAATTTAATTAAAGTATTAATAGCACATGATAAACCATTTCTTTATACTTTGTTAGCCTAGTACAGTGAAAGGTCCTTGCCTTTTTCTCCATATCATAATAAGATTTCAGCAGAGGTAATATAACAGCTGTCCTCATTTACTGTAACATCCAGGACCAATCAAGCCATTAAAATAATCAGCAGCATTGCTCTTACTGTACACTGTCTTCTAAATTGTTTTGATTTTCACAATAAGCAACTACTTAACCAATTCTGAGAGCTTTTGTAATATAGTATTTTTCCCAATATATATTTTTTAAGTTACTTGATTTTCATCCTTCCAGCATTTTAAAGGTTAATTATGCTTTCCTGGCTCATAACTTCAGTTTGGATATGATGCACAGTGCTAGAACCAGCTGCTGCTGTTGCAGAATAAATGGCCAATTTTGTCCATTGTACACAAATTTGTAACAAATAACTGAGCTGGGAATGCATTAGGCAACATTCATAATATATAACCCACAGCTTTCGTTTTTATGATTTAGTGATATTTCAGGATATTTGTAAATGTGAAGATTGTTTCTGCCATATGTAGCCACTTCATTTTAATTTGCCAGTGTCAGTAATGCAGGAGAATAAAGGAACATTTTGTATTGCATGCAAACAGATCCTCAGGTGCTTGCGATAAAACTTAATGGCAACCATCTTTACTTGTAGTCATTGTAAGCAGTTTCATCAGAATGGGCAATATTTTTTAATTTAAGAGATTCAGGAGATTTACCAACTATCCGTTGCCATATATATTTAGAATACTGATTTTGTCAGTTTTGAGCTTATAAATCTTGGTCCTTTGATCTCCAGTCATTTTGACAGGATGGAAAATAGCATCTTGGAATAAATTGGAACTGTATAGAGATATGTTTGGGATTTATATTAACAATGATTGCTGCAGGGATGAGGCCATTATGGCTCCCATCTGACAGAACAACATAATTTCATACAGAAGCTACTAGGGGATGACATTATGCATGCAAGGGGGCGGGGGGGAAGGGTCCTCGAATTTTGATGTTTTTGAGTATACATATGTGTTCCCGAATTTGCATGAAAAATAACGAAAACACAGATCTTCAAAGTAGACTGTCAAACTAAGTGCACGCTAAGAATTCTTCGTTAAAGTGCTAATGATGGCCCGTTTAATAATACTGTGTATTTTCTGCCTTCAGAAAAGGACTACAACATTCCTAATTTGCTCAAGAATGAAAAAAAAAATCAGTGGCAATAGTCTATGTCAATATATATATATATATAGTAAGCAAGAGAATTGGAGGCACAGCTCACCTAGCTTCTTCAACAGTCTTTTGAAAGTGAAAGTTCAGAATAAATGATAATTATAATGTTATCTCTCTTTGAAGGCATCATGTCACATGATCTTCCTGTGACTGTTAGGAAAATGTTTAGGCCGAGTGACCCTTGTTCTGACTTATGGAGGGGGTGGAAATGTTTCAGCTAATGTTCTCATGAAAAATAGTGTGGATAAAAGGTATTTTAAATAAATAGTTATTTAATATGTTCATCAGGGAACAGTCGTGTAAGCTGAATTGCTTCAAAAAGTATTGTGTGGCAAAGCATTCTGTCCTTGTGGAAGTAAAGCGTTCCTGCAAGGCTCAGTATGAAGCAATGCTGAGACAATGTTAGTTCATGCCATGAAGACCCTATCTTAACAGCTAAGCCAAATTAATGGGGTTTCACTTATGGCACATAAATAGGCACAACCAACCTCTGGTTTTGCAGGGTGTTTTTGACACCTATCTACATGCCTTCTAAGATCTTTCAGTTTCCCTGGACATGTTTTTGCCTCACGAGAATGAAAATTCACTTTTCTTCTAAGACTATTCCCAGGAGTCATTTTCATTATTTTAAATCTCTTGTGCTTGCTCTAAGAAAGTATGTTGTCAGAACAGAGAAACCAGGAAAATGGTTATTATGTTCTGAGGCAGCACTGATGAAATTCTGGTACATGTATCGAGCATTTTAAACTTTTTCATTCCCAAAGAGGAATGCTATTGGTTTTGGATGAGTCTATTTTTATTTTACATGTGGTGTATAGGAGAAACCTAAATGCTTTTCATTTAGGTTTCATTTCAGTAGTTCTCTACTAAATTATTTATAAAAATTTCATTTTATGTATTTTCTAAAGCTTTTCTTGGACTGCTGGTATTTCAAAGTACTACTTAATAGTTATTGCAAGTATTTAACGTATTTAACCTTCCAGTCAAATTCGTTAGCATCAATTAAGTCTGTATCTTATAAGATAATCTGTGCCTGCTGTAAGCTCCTGCCTCCAGCATGCTGCCTGGCATCTGGAAGTAACTGGCTTTGTGCTCTTATCTCCCTGGTATATTCATCTGCCTAGTGAGATATGAAAGCTTCTCCTGTACATCCACGGCCATTAGTATTCTCAGCTTTCCTTCTTATGTTGCACATAGAGTCTTTCTGACTCCATCAGAACCAGGAAAACAAGCCCTTCTCCTGTTCTGTGCCAAGTGTGATATTACCACAAGCATTGCTTTCAAGTTAGGTTAACAGCGAGCAGACTTACTAAGGGATACAGAACACTGGAAGTAGCTTCTTTTTTCTCCAGCTGAAAAATCGTGATCATGATTATTTCCTAGCTATCTCTGCTTTGCAGCATTTACTATTCACCTTTCTTTTCTACATGAGGATAAGGAGGATTTGGCCGAAAAGGGCCTCAAGATCATCATCATGATCAAAAAAAAAAAAAAAAACAACTAGGAAGATGGAGATTTCTGTGAGAATAAGTGGCTCGTAGAGGAAGGGCACGTGTGGGAGATGGGGTTTGTGTTTGATACGTGGTGGCCCACTGCTGCCGCTTCCTTCTGTTTGAAGGGAGGAACATGCTAGTGTCCTAATCAGTAATCCAGGATTTTTCAGTTAACTGCTTTCTGTCTTTAAACTCCACACATGTTCCTCTTTACTTATTCTGTTTATGTCAGGTTGTGCTTTTCCTGAGGGAGTTGTAGCGAAAATGAGCTCCTGTTGAGTGGTGTTAACTGAATTGTCGCATCTTCATATTCTGTTCCCTTTTTCTCAAATGCACAAATCCTACAGAGGACCACAAACAACTTCCAGAAGTATTTGATGTCTTTTCATCTGCTATATTTGGTTGCCATATACTCTTAAGATACGTGTAAATTGTCAGCAGGCCTACCTCAATTTCATGCATCTGGCTCCTTGGATGTTTAAAAGATCTATGCTGGTAGGATGGTTATTTCAAGATCTGGAGGAGTGTCCTTAGTATAAATGGGGTTGCTCCAAAGATTTTCTTTTGTTGTAAAGTCATCTTGCTTATTCAATGACTTCTCTTACTCAATATTTTGTATAATTCTTGATTCTTTGTAAGCTTCATTTCGTCACTATTTGTTCATTCTTTATATTCATTTTTAACTACAGCTATTCGCCCGGTTTTGTATGGAAATGAGGTGGTTTATTCACAGTATTGTTCATCAGTTAGAGTTGGTGTCATCTTATCCCGTCTCTTCTATTCTCCAGGATAACTTTTGAACTTGTAAGCCAATCTCAAGCAAATCCAAAAGGAATCCCAAAGACAAAAAAAAAATTGTCGCACACAATAGTTCATGCTTCTTCAGATAGTGTTTGTTCGTTTATTTTTGTTTTTTTCTATGTTGTCTTATACGTTGGTCAGTAGTGTTTAGAAAGAGCTTCTTGTCTTCCAGTTGTCCACCTGTATATTGGGTTTAAGTCAGGATATAAATCTTTTATGAAAAATATTTGAAAAACACCAACATGAAATGGTGAAAAAGAAGTTACAGAGTTTTTGTTTTGAATGAAAAGTGGTAGGTTAGTCTTGTTTTATTCTTTTTTGCTCTTTTTGTCCTTAACTCATTTATTTGCTTGAGTGTCTGCATAGTACCTTGGCTAACTCTGCATCTCTGAAAAAAGCATGACTCAATTTTCACAACTGTTATTAAACATTAGAATTAGTTTCTTGAGTGCTAAACTGTTATTAAACATTAGAATTAGTTTCTTGAGTGCTATGCAAATACAGTAAGCAGTACACATTAACAATCAAAATCATATTAATTTATATAGTATTAGGAGATCTTGTACTATTTTAGTCTATAAATACTGGTTATCGATATGAGCAGTTGTTTTTAGAGTTGTGTCATACTCATCAGCTGGTTTGCTAGGTGGGAAAACAGACAATATGAATCAAGGTTTTAAAGATGTTAAAATTTACCTGTTTCCTAAATTTTGCATGATGCAGTCCATATACTGTATATAAACTAGTATTTTGGGGGGAAAATGAAAATAAGTGTTTTTTCTCACAGTTCACTGTTCTGCATTATACTGTGAATTTTAGTGACTCTACAAGATGATTGCTATTATCTGGGTGGGGGTGGTGTGCATTCCAGGGGAAAAAAAAAAAAAAAAAAGAACTTTTCTCCTTAAGCCGCAGAAAAGGACGACAGTTCGGAAGACGACGCGTCGGCGCCGGGCAGCCCGCACGCCGAGGCGATCCAGCACAGCTCCGTCAGCACCTCCAACGGCGTCAGCTCCACGTCCAAGGCGGAGGCGGTGGCCACGTCGGTGCTCACGCAGCTGGCGGACCAGAGCACGGAGCCCGTGCTGTCCCAGATCGTCCTGGCGCCTCCCTCCCAGTCGCAGCCGTCGGGAAGTTGATTAAAACTTGCTTTGCCTCCGTTTCTTAGATACCCGTTTGTGACTTTAAAGGGAAATGAGCAAAAGACCAGTCTCCATCTAGGAGAAATCTGTAGCTTAAGATTCATTTTCAGAAATCAAACTCAAATTGGGCTTTACTGATTGGCAGATGAAGGTGAGACAGAACAACAGTTTCTAGTCTCTTAGCAAAAGACTCTTTTTTTTAATATTAGGTTTGTTAGTTATTTTCTGTGCTCTGTGTAAAGTGTGTGTACAGTATAATGTGTTTTATTTCATTTTTAATTTGGTATTATTTCAACAAGCATTGGGGTGAATCACTAAAGGTCATCCCCAAGACTGTGATAGTAATATTATGTGACATTTTATACCAAAGTTCTGCATAGTCCCTATTGACTTTGTAATGTAGGCAAGGTCATAAAGCACTAGGCAAGAGAAAGAAAGGAACAGTAAATTTGCTTTTAGTCTTTTTGCCTTTTTGTTGTTTTGCACATTATGAGAGGAAGAACATTGGGAGAAAAAAAAATCTTTTTTGTGTGTATAGCATTTTGTTTTGGCTTTTTAACTTTTTTTAAAATCGTTTAATAGGGCCAGTACAGTATATAAGATACAGTACTTTTATGCACATACCTATCTGAGATGAGGATCATTGCTGATAGATTTCTTTGAAAATTGATGCCAGCTCCCCCTCCCCACCAACACCTTCATTCTAGGGGGAGGAGAGCTTTACTTTTCCAATCGGAACAGAAATCTGTAACTACCCTTTGTTGCTAGGCTGAAACCAGTAAGCATATTGTAAAATACAGGGTTGTCGAATATGGAATACTTAGTATTCCAAAGTGGGGAGATATTTTGTGGATTTTTGAGTCACAAACTAAGAATTGACTTGTGGTTTTGGATGCCAGAAAAGCCTAAAATCCTTCTTCAGACAATTCAAGACTTATTTTGTCATTGTCTTGTATTTGCAAGCTAACTTGTACTTAATTCTTGTGTAAGCACTGTCATCTTTTAGTAGCAAAAATTTTGATACCTTTCTTGTGGAAAAAAAAAAGAAAAAAAAACAGTATCTACGTATCTTGGAAACAATGTAATTACGTGGTGTGTGTGGTGTGTGCGTGAGAATGGTTCCGTAGTTTATGCCAGCGGTCTTTTGCTTGAATGTTTAAAGATGCCTTCAATGTGATGCTGGCTGATAGGTGATTGCAGTTTTAAAATGTTATTTACTGTGCGAACTTGGATAACTAACATTCCATGATGTAGTTTGTTTCTGATGAGATGATTGTAGGTACACTTTTTCTCATTATCCAATCATCTGTAGGATATTGAGTTTTTTAAATGTGCCATTATCTATTTTGATTCTGTACTCATGTTCAAAATACAGTACAATATTTTACAATAGATTAAGTTGTTTAAAAAAGTAGATGTGTGCTTTCAGGTGGGAAAACTTTGTATAATAGCAAAAACAGAAGCATAGTAGCAACTGGCAGTAAAGCAGGATTCCTCTATGTATATAACAAAGATTTAATGCATTTATAATGGGTTGTGTAGTTCATTCGCTCTTCCTTCTCCACCCTGTACTATCTGTTTTAAGTGTCAGTGCCATCAAATTTCACATTTGATTCAATTTTAAATCTAAAATTGAAATTGATCCACAAGAAAATTGTGATTTCTACAATACATATATATATATATATACACACAACCGTACTATAATGAAAACTGGACAAAGACATATCTAAGTCATATATATATTTCATTTTGGGGCTTTAAGCATGAAAATAATGATTCTCAGTATTTTATATTTTAAAAATAAGGAAGTTGAGTCGATAACCTCATATGTTTAGAAGTCTCTCCCAGTTTCAAGGGAAAAAAGCTATAATGGTTATGTTTCTGGGGTGATAAAATATAATAGACATCTTGTGAGAAGGAAACTAATTGCAAAGGCACAAAATGTGAATTCTGCAAGAAAGCTATACAGTTACTTTACATTGTTGTTTTGGTGGACTAGATAAGGCCTCATCAATTACACTATAATTTGCTCTCCTAAACACAAAGGCTTTTTAAATCATATTTATATAAGTGGAGTTTTTTATAACAAAGCTATCGCGCTTGTAAAATAAGTCTACATAAGTGTATAGGAGACATGTAAACATTTAATGAATTTAACAGTGGGACTGGAAGAAGAATCATTAAAATCTATCTGTGTTCAGCAAATAGAGAAAAGTTATTAGTCATACAACCATGGTTTCGGTTTTGAGACGTATGTCACACTACTTCTGTACTTGGCATTTTGGGTCTTTACATTTGACATGTTTCACAAACTGTACTGTTTTCTTTTATGTGCAGTTTGCATGAGTAAATCATCAAAGAATAAAATCTATAAGTTATGTTCCTATTTTAATGAAATTATAATTGTTCTAAAAGGCTGCGGTGTCATCGGACTCCATTATTGCAATTATTAGCATTTTTGTGGAACTTGTTACTATAAGGTCGAGCCGATGTTAGGTAAATAACACGTGGCACGTGTGTTTCTTGAGAAAATGAACCCAATTCCACTGCACTGCAATTGAGTTGCAGTAGCCTCTGAGGGCTATGGTTAGTTCCAGGAGCCTAAGGTAACCCTTGGGAAAAGGAGTTTGTTAACAAAACTCGGTGATCGCTGATGTTGCGTGGCCGTTCTTGTTGCACAGCAGAAACGGTGTGTGTCTGTACACAATATCCAGCTAAGCTAGAAAGTAACGGATACAGACAGAGGAACTGCTTACAGTTTTGTCCTGAAAGGTTTAAAGGAAATCATATCCCGTGTTTTTTGTTTCAAAATACTAAGAATTATTCAGTTTTGTTTATGAATATTGGAAACATATTTATGAAGTCATGTTAGGTTATCATTTGAAAAGCTCTCAACAGACCTTTGATATGAAGGCTTAAAAATATATATATATATATATTTTGTGTGGTTACAGTTAATACATATGTTGACCAATGGAAATCATTCGAACTGCACACAACTTTAGAGGAGTCTGGAGGCCTCTGTTTGTTATGTTTTCTGATTGAAAGCTGTATTTGTCACTTCAAGAATGAGGAAGGTTATATAATGTGGGACAACTGTTTGGTGGTGAAGTTTGTCTCCACCATATAAAGTCCTGGTATAAAACCAGACTTAACCCAGGTAAACTCCTCTTTTGAAAATTCTAATAGAGGTTCAGCAACTGTGGGTGTTAAATAGGTGATGGAAGTGTTAGAGCAATGGTGATTGCAGCTACAAGAGTGACAAATAGCTTGGTTTACAGACAACAAACGTTTGAATTGGTTATCATAAATAATGATAGAGTAAACACTGCAATTAATTCTATGTTAATAAATAAATGTATGTTAAATTGCACTGAAGGCAACTTCAGCAAAAGCTGCTTGACATGATTGATACACGTGACTGCGTGTCTAGTGAAGGTTGCTTACATTTATGTGCTGCTTGTTGTCTCCATTAGCAAAGAAATAATTTGAACTGCAGATAATTTACATTGCAGAATAGTACTGGCAACATAGGCTTACAGTAATATTTTCCTTAAAATATATTTTTAATCACTGTGTCAACAATAGCATAATATGTGTGATTTATTTAAACAGTGTCTCAAATAATCTGTATAGGTAGGTCTAGATGAAACAATCATTAAATAATCTAAATTGCCAAATTTTTATATACTTCAAAACAAAAAGCAAAAAAAGACATGCATTTTAGGCTTTAATGTGATTCTTCATTTTTTCTGAAGATTAAGTTCATGACCTTTTCTGTCCTTAACCTTTTTTCTTTTCAAAATAATTTTATATCCATTTCATTTTTAATCTCTAGAAAAACAACCAGTAATTTAGAGCTGCATTGACTGGAAACAGGTAATGAGCATAAAAGTTATAAAACAGCTTAAAGCGGAGAAAAGGAATCTTGCTCCTAGGAACTCTTAGCCCAGGAGCAGGGAGCGGGTTGTATTTATAACTGCTTTGGACAGCAAGGCCTGCTTGTTACTCCAGCTTACAATTAATGAGCTTAGAGGATGAGGATTCGCGGGCTGGGGAGCTGGGTCGGTGCGAGACGGAGGGGCTGAGCGCTGGGCGCGAGGGCCGTCGGCGGGTGCTGCGGGTACCGCGCCGCGGGCTGGCTCAGCCCCGCGAGGCACAAACACCAACCCCAGGGATTCCCGTTAATATCCTCTGTGCCCGGGCGGATGGAGCCTGTTCAAGGCATGCCTGATAGTTACAAGGACAAAAGTAAAATCTTTTCTTTTTCTTTTTTTTTTTCTCCCAATAAGTAACAAAGTTCCTTCTTTAATCGTGCAGTATGTTACTATTGACATGGTACCTAAATAGTGTTTCCCTCTGTCATAATTGTTTGTTCTAGGCCATTAGTGAAAGCAAAAAGCTGTCTTTGATAAATGAAAAAGCCTATTAATTTAATATGTTTAAAAATAAAATGGGAAATTACATCCAAGTCATATATCTAGGATGTTAATCAGGAGAAAAGGGAAACAAGTAAAGAGAGAATGAGTCCTCTGCCCCGTCAACAAACAAAATAAATTGCCTGTATGAATAAATGGAGAAAATTAAATGAAAAAAAAATGGCTGCACAATTTGCCAGCTATTTTCTCTGAACAAAAAAGCGCTCTGTTTCACTTCTCAGTTACCCCAGCCCTTTGCTGTGATACCATTTCTGACGTTAAGATGCGTTCTGTGATGACTTGTTTCTGGGAAAATGTTTACAAATACATTATAAATGCCTTGATTTCACTTGAGGTAAGTAGTATAAACACCTCCTTCATTGTGACTGTGTGTTGAGAAAGACACTCTTAAAAGTTATATAATGTATAGTACACTCATTGCAGTTGTCTATAAAATTTAAACAAACTTTATAGTGACTATGCGTGACTATGATTTCAGAACAACTAAATGGCTAATATTTTAGTTTTTCTTGCTTTCTGCTTCCCCAAGAGCACAGTCTTTCAGCAGCACTGTTACAAAGGGCTAATCATTTTTGCTGAAAAAGTTGATAATCCTTGCAAATGAAGAACAGATGCTTTGTATCTCACTGAATGACAGGAACGTTTTTACACCCAATCATTTTGTT